TTCATGTTTAGGCTTAGCCTGAGGTTCGGTAGTTAATTCAAGTTGAGGCTTAGCCAGAGGTTCGGTAGCTAATTCATGTTGAGGCTTAGCCTGAGGTTCGGGATCAAACTCACCTTCCTCCATCTCACTACTTGTATCACTCTCAGCCAGTGTCTCCTCGGTCTTCTTCACCTTTCCACCACCACCATCAACACTCTTAGACTGCTCACTGCCAGAACCCCTTGACCTTGTTGGCGACCTGGACTTTGACCTGGAGCTTCTCCTCCTCCTTATTTCTTCCCTCTCCCTTGACTCGCCGACCACTCTACCCGCTACCAAAGAATCTCTGGACCAGCTTGGCGATTTCACATCCTTAACCTCCCTCAATTGCACCTTACTACTACTCCCTCTGTTCTCGTTAATTCCAAACCTTTTCCAGGAGCTCTCACTTGCACACCGGGTTCGATCTCTTTCTGACCGGAACCCCTTTGGAAAATCTCTGCGAGGCCCACGGAAGCTCTCTGATCTGCGGAGGCTACCGCCACTACTACCACTCTCTCTGTAACGATTGAGGTCAAATTTCCGCCTATCAAAGCTCTCAAAATCATACTCTGCTCGCTTCCGGACCATCCTCTCCCTGCCACTATCCTCATCAGCCACATATTGGTCTCGATCATATCGAGAAGAAGAAGAAATCAAATTGCTTTTGGTACGGGCGTTGCTATCTGAGGCTGAAGATGGCTTGTGGTAAAAGCCGCAGCTACTGCTGCTTCGGGATGAACGATTCTGATCCTGACTCCATTCTTTGCTTGCATTTTTCTCATAGGAATCGAGATCGCCGCTCGATCTCAACCGCTTCATGTTTTTGTATGTATATAAAGAATATCTTTTTCCCCTATAATTTAAAAGAAAAAAAAATGAAAAACAAGCTGATAACAGCGATACGACAGTTGATTGATAGGATGTAAACCCTGATTTAGAATGACAGGGGGGAAATACTGAAGCTTTGGATGTGAATACCTGGAGGAATGCCAAAATTGACGTCGAATTCACCCAACCGCACGATGTTAGCAGGGAGAGAGCCGATGTTTCATTTTCGGGAAGAAACTTTCATACAAAAAGAAATAGTTAAAAATGAAAAGGAAGCCACCAAATCCAAATGCCTCAAGATATGGGTGGAGTTAAATTGAATTTCAAGGGAGAATTGTAAGTAAGGCTTTTACTGAAAAACCCTAACTTTTAAGATTGTGGAGCTGGAAAGAGGAGAGGAAATTGAAGAATAATGTAATTCGTATTTTATACTCCGATTTTGGATGGGTATAATGGAAAATATTTGGTTTGGAAGGGTATAATTAAAAAAAGAATTTAGACGACAAAGAAAGAGATGGAGTAAATTTTATCTAAAGCCAAGCCAAGTCAACTACTACGTCAACCTGAGTTTGTTTGGAAACTGTAACGGTGCTCTGCTAAGCTTCATTGCTTAAATTTCAAATTCTCTTCTTTTTCCCGGTCTAACTATCTTTTCAGTACTTCCATTCTTTGCTTGTTTAAAATTTAGTCCTTTTAACTTTTTTTTCTTTTATTTTTCGGTTAAGAGTTAAAATATAATTTGGTAATACTGTCAAATTGGATTGTATGGAATTTAAAAATATATAAATTTGTTCACATTATTGATTTTAAGTTATATAACAATTAGGAGAGTTAGACAGAATTAGAAAATTAAGATTAATTTTTTTAAAGTGGATAGAGTCAAATAATTGACATTTTTTTAAGTGGTCTCAATATCTTGTTAAAATGGTATCATTTTTTTTTTACGTAAAATTATTAAAACAATATTTTAAAAAGATAGATGTCATTTGACACTCATTCATACTCACAATCATTCATACTATTAGTTAAACTATACATAAATTATTGAATAAAAATTAATTTTTATCAAAATTATGATAAATTTATTAACAAAAGGATGAAATAATCGTTTTATAATTGATTTAATGACATTTTAATATATATATATATATATATATATATATTATCAATTTAATTTATAATTATTAAAAATATTCTCAATATTGTTATATTTTATTAATGAGAAAATAACTTTAGTGACAGAAAATGCCTTATAATATACGATTTTGATCAACTTTTTTTTGATTTGCCAAAATGACCAACAAAATCGCAATGTGATCTCTAAATCGCAACGCGATCTCCAGTATCGCAAATCAGTTTACAGATTCGCAACGCGATTTTGACTATCGCATTGTGATTTTCCAAATTCGCGTTGCGATTTTAGAAAATCACAATGCGAATATGTAAATCGCAACGCGATTCTGACTATCGCAACGCGATCTCCAGTATCGCAAATCAGTTTCCAGATTCGCAACGCGATTCTGACTATCGCAACTCGATAATACAAAATCGCAATGCGATTCTGACTATCGCAACGCGATAATACATAATCGCGTTGTTGCAATTTTAGAAAATCGCAATGCGAATATGTAAATTGCAACGCGGTTCTGACTATCGCATCGCGATAATACAAAATCGCAACGCGATAATACATAATCGCAATGCGATAATACAAAATCGCAATGTGATTTTCCAAATTTACGTTAGTCCAAATTCGTTGTGATAGTCCAAGTTCACGTTGAGATTTCTTAAGAGTTTTCTCTAAAAAGATAGTATCCGCGCGCACGACCACGACCACGATCCGACCCGACCCGAGACGGGACGGCGGCGGCGGTAGTGCGCGAGAGTCCCCCTTGTTCTCTTCCACTCAACAAGGAAGTGGGAAATCCAAGCCTTAAATACTCATTCCCAACAGTTTTTCCAATACTATGTGGGATTGAGCATTGTAAACACTTGGGAATCTTTTACATTATCGCAACACATTCTTTATTGTTTCAAATTAAGATATTACAAATGGCTTGGGAATCTTTTACACTATCGCAACACATTCTTTATTGTTTCAAACTCCACGTGAATTTGGAATAGTTAAAATGTAAACTTATTTTGGATTTTTCACTATCGCAACACTTTTTCACTATCGCAACAACACGTTTTTCAAACTCTCGCAACACATTTTAACTATCGCAACACATTTTAACTATTGCAACACATTTTTCAAAATCGCGTTGCGAATTTGTAAACTGAGTTGAAAAATTAGAGTTCGCGCTGCGATTTTGTTGGTTATTTTGGTAAATAAAAAAAAATTAGTTAAAATCGTATATTATAAGGCATTTTCGGTCACTGAGGTTATTTTCTCTTTATTAATTATATAACTAAACAAGGAGTACAAGGACTGTGAGGACAATTATTTAGAACGAATAGATTTTACTAATTTTTTTAGGAATTAACTACCATTATATTAGAATTTGGAGTAACAAATTAAAATTGAACCTCAAAATCTTTTTTTCTTCTTCTTATTTCTTTATCCAACCGAAAGTGGAGATTATGTTATTTATTAAATGATTATATCATTATTCTTATAATAGTAATTCAATGGATCAAATTTAAATAATAAAATTTAAGCACAAACCACATTCTCTCAGTGATTAAAAGAATGATTATTATTTTTTGAGATTTAGAGTTCGAACATCAGAGATAAATGATAGATCCATAAACTCAAGAGTGTGGTCCAAAATTTTAATTTCCTTTTTTCAAAATTAACGTGTATACAAAAAAAATCTTTTTTTCTTTTTCCTTAATACATTAAACTAAATTTAATTATGTTTCTAAAATAATAGAAATGCACATGGTCTCTATGTGGGCTTAGTGCATGCATCCCTATCAAAGACTATAGAATATTGCTATGTTCTTTGTCAAATAATTAAGTCTTTAAAACATATATTATCCCTTATAAACTCTCTAAATTAATAAAAAAATTAAACCCAATCAGTCAAGTAGTGAATAATCAATTTATTTTTATTTTAGTTACCAAAATTTATTTTAATTAATAGTGGAGTGACTATGGGTATAGTTTACCAAATTTAAAGTATAATGAATTGAATAAGAGAGAAAGTAAAATTCAATTACCAAATTTATAGTTTATCCTTTTAAAATTTATGACTGCAACCAATCGTCTCCTTCGATCCCATTCTGCACGTCGTCACAATGACAAAAAATGTATTCATGTTATCATTAAAGTTTAACGGCTTAATGACATAATTAAAATCAAAATTTAATATTATAATTAAATTAATTAAAATTTTAATAATATTAACATTATACCATCTAAAATTAAATGATATATAATATAGTTCACTCTTATTATTATTATTATGATTTATTATTATTTGCTATTATATACTGAAAACTTCTTTTTTAACTAATAATGACATGAACGTGAAGTGTGAGTAAAGAATGGGATTGAAAAGGATATAACATCTAAATATATGAATTGCATGGATTTTATATTTGCTTGATTTAATACCCTGGTCTCGGACTGACGTTGAGTTTTCAATTTTTTTTAAAACATTTATTTAGTTGATGTTAAAAATTTATATTAAATAAAATTGCATTGCATTCCAATTTATTAACATTTTAAATTATTAATTAAATTATAATAATTAATTAGAAAAACTTTACAAGCACAACTTAAAGAGTATAATAAAAAATAGAAAAATTAAGTATATAAAAAAGATACGTGTCGATATTTTAAGTATGTATATAAAATTTTATAATGAAGAAAGACTGTTAGTATTATTTATGCATTTATTGTAGTATTTTTTTAATCAGGAGTTAAATTTTATTCATAGTATCAATGAATAACTACATCATTTCAATTGTAGTTTCATCGGTTTAATTAGTATAGTAAAATCCTGATGAAAGTATGTATTTAATTAAGGATTATTAACGAATACATAATCTTATGCAAGAAAGTAACAGATGTTAAATTGGTATTAAATGATAACGAAAAACACAAAAAATGGTTGAAATCAATGCATCAGATTTATCGACTTGAACCAAACTGATAACCTGAACTCTTATTCCATGACTTATTTCAATGAGATGTCCTGGTTTCATCTTTGCTGTATCACTAATGCTGCAGCAAGCCAGCAACAGTTTCCAGTCATTGTCCGAGGTTTTATGTTGCGGTTTCCGAAGCCGATATCATCATCGTCATCGTTGGCGCAGACAAAGACTTGTTTCTCTCAGTTTTTGTGTACAATTGCAGTTATTTTGTTTATTAATATGAGTAGAGATTATTTTGGCTTGGCTCGAGATTATTGTCTTAACCAAACCTGATAATCTGATCTTTTGTCAATGAACTTCTGCCAGCTACCATCCAACTGATTTTCCTTGGAAGGATTCCAATTGAAATACCCTAGTTTCATCACTAGGGTATCGCCAACCCGAGCGACATAACCTTCGTTATTGGCGTGGTAAATTTTGACAGGACTTCGGCAGTGGATCCCGGCTCGTCTTCGAGCTTCTATTAATTCCGTCATGATATCGTGCATGCCGAATTCATATAAGTGGTCATAAAAGATTACAGGCTGAAAAAATCATATTGTCCAGTCCAGAGAGAAGGGTATCAAAATATATTTATCGAAATTTCTGTTCGTGCATCGGTGTGTAGAATCATATAGCAATTTTGATGACAAGTAACTTACAGTTCCGGGATGCGTCAGGATGTAAGCATATCCTTGTGCAAGCTTATCACGGGGAAAAGGCCAGTGACCCTAAAATAAAACTCAAAACAGTTAGTCATTTGCCACTGCAGTGTGCAGATACTTAAACACCACTCAGCAGATTGATGCGGACATTATTGATGGACATTATAGTTAACAAGTGGTTATCTGATATAAGACCTTACTATATTGCCATCACCGGGTACTCGGGATGACGGAGAGGAGTCGGAGATCACAAGTTCATGATCTGCTATGACTGAGATGCATGAAGGTTGAGATGCACTATATGACATTATAGTTAACATGACTTATGACAACATAAGATTCGCCTATTGTGATACTTGGAACAATGGTACTGCTCCGAGTTTGTGTAATGTGTATTTTCGTATGAATGTGTACGCCGGTGAAAGATACAGGGAGTACCTGGGTAGACCCGGTGTCGTGGTTCTCGATAAATGTACAAGCACGTGAAGGCCACCATCCCATTACTCCTGTTGGTTTTCCTTGAGGATCTATCAGTCTCCAATATTGGCCGTGTAAAGCAGAGTGGAGTATCCCCTGCAATGGCAAATTATTTCAGTCTGCAATTGGAGAAAGCATACACCTACCTGACAACAACTTTTCTACGGGGCTTATTATGGAGACATTATGGCCGTCAGACACATGAGGTTAGCTATTTCGGAATACCTTTGTCGTGACATCGAAAGCCGAGGAAGTACCACCGGTAGCATTGATCCAGTTGACTATCCTTTGCCGATGAGCATCTAGACAAGTAAACAAAGTCCCATATATCATTGTAGGGACTAGGGTAATTCTATTATATGACATATATATCATAGGCAATACTAAATGATTACCTTGATTGTATGACAAGTTACCGTTTTCATATGCCATACTGTCCCAATATTCTCCTATAGCAAATGCAGGATGTGAAGTTTCTATATATTCTTTCACAAATGTACCAGAGAAGCCTCTGCAAACAACAGCAAACAAGTCATTTCGTTTCTGCATCGTCCATGGTATCTTCAAATCTTTTGCCTTACTTTTCCACCTTTCCAGAGTCCAGTCAACGGAAAATTTTTATGTTTATGACTATCCTTCTATGTTTTGGACAAATCTTAGCGACGGTGAAGAAGATCGTAGTTAGTATCCTTTTATTTTTTCGTTGTTGCATTAATAATTGTAAGTCAAAGAAAGACATGCAATGAGAAAAGGGCAACAGAACACCTTCACCTCACAAAGTCAAGCCGCCAACCGTCGTAACCAATCTCGTTACGGAGCCAGTTCAACCATTCCTTTATATCTCTTCGCACAAAGTCCTGCGAATGATCAACATTTGGTGCCGCATGGAAGATATCACCTAAACATAATCAGTTAAGTTTACAGTAAGTCCTATTTTTAATTAACTTAATATTCGGAAATATCGAGTCAATAACAATGGCTGATATAGCTGCCATTGCCATAGCTCACATAATTTAGACCTGTTCCTAGTAGCCACTGAGATTTTGATCAAATGAATAGGGATGGCAAGAAACTCTCAACCCACCGCCTTATCATATACATACCACTTGAAGGATTTCCACGCCCCTGGAAATTCGGATCATCGCAAACAATAGCTTCCGGCCCCCAAGCAAGCTTGCCGCCGAAAATATTCCAGACACCATTTGGACTCTGAAATTAGCACAAAAAAAAACTTTAAATACATCCCTGCAATGGACTTGTTAAAAGTTCATGTTGCACTTTCAGCCTTGAAAATAAGATCAGTAATGCCATTGTTTGATATGAAAATACAGTCGCAAAAGGTAAAAATGAGACTTAAAAAAACAGTAATTATTGATGTAAAAAGAAAATCGGGGCAGGCGGCTGGGGCAACCTGTTTATGCGCGCATCTATGGTTAAGCACGACATCTCCCAACACCTGCATACATAAAGGCAACACAATTTAAGTATCATGCCTGCATATACACTTGTATCTGCATAGATAAAGATGAGGTTTCGTAATAATGTCCTACGAACTATATAGATAAATTCAATTCCAAGACTTTGAACCAGCAAAGAAAATGAAAATGTCTGAAGCAAGAAGAAAGGAGAGCCAAACATTAACAACTAACTCTCACTATTCGCAAAAATTGCATCACATACCAAAAGGTCGTGAACATGCATTTCCTCTATGCACGATTTCAGGTCTTCAACAGATCCATATTTGGAGTTCAAGTTGTAAAGATCAGAAGGCATATAACCTGCATGTTGTTCCATATAACTTATAACTGTGTGTGAAAGGCGAAATGGATGTCCACAATGTTTAACAACCGCAAACATATTGATCAATATGTGTACTGCAGAACACAATGTTTACCTTGGGGCGCGACAGATTCTGTTGGTGGTGGCAACCATACCGCAGTAATCCCGGATTGAGATAAATCAGCTGCCTTGAGAGCTAACTCCTGGTACCACTGCCTTCTCCAACTTTCCCAATTGAAACCTTGAAACTTTAAGACCAACAAATTAAGATTTGTGAGTGATCTGCTTTAAGGAATACTTTATCCATGTCATTGTTCGAGAATCGATAACCTTGTGAGCCTCAATCAAATAAGCTCAAGTTAGTATGAATCAAGAGCAAATATATCAAACCATCAACTTACCACAATTTCTCTTCCTGTACCAGTTCCTGGCTCTGCATTGAATTTCAAATTCTAATGCAAATTAGATATGACTGAAGAATGATAAAAAAAGTACATATGAGGGAAAAGAAAAGGAAAACTAACCTAATTTTGTTTCGTCTAGAGTCCTCTGCCATTGAACTGTCCTTCGTTGAAGTGCTCGTTCCAAAGCTTTCCGTTTCTTCTCTATAACTTCTTTTTCCATAACATGTTCAACAAGAATATCACCTTCTCTTAGCTTTTCTTGAGCAATAGACCAAACCTCATTAGGTTTGGGCAATGTCAAAGATTTAAATTTGGAATTTAAGGCTTTAGAAATGTCGGTCTTTCTAGGTGGAAACTCGGTACGAATGCTCCATATCCTTCTTGCCATCCACTGAGGTATCTCCTTACGTGGACCACAACTCAAAAGTTTCCATTTCTGCGAATCATCATCGGTTAAAAGGTCTATCCTCCCGCCATTAGCGATATAGATGTTGTCTTTGTCGTCTTCCTTTTCCGATCTTTCCTTCAACAACAATGACTGTGCCATCTCTGCTCTTTGTATCCACGTCTTCAAAGCACTTTCTGATGTACTCAGTGACCTCTGCAGGGCTTGACACCTTCTCATGTAGGCGTTTTCTCTTGAACTCGTAGTTTCTTTGGCGGCATCGACAACGGCCTTGATGCTTTCCATCTCAACATTAAAAGCCTTGGACAATTCCTTCTTTCTTTCCTCAGCTTCTTTCTTTATGTTCTCCAACACAGACCTAATCTCCTCTTCCTGCTCAAGAGCCTTTTTCGTACTCAACTCTTGGAATTCAAGCAACTCCTTCTCGGCATTTCTGGCTCGGAGTTCGGCTGCACGTGCTTGTTCTTGGGCCTGTTGCAACTCCAGTTTCATTCTGTCGGACTCGGTTTTTGAAAACAACAATTGAGCTTCTAAATCACTGACAGCACCATGTAACTTAATATTCTTGGATTGAACAGAAGCAACAGCATCAATGGGATTTATACCATCAGTGAATGCTGCAATAGCTTTTGAAGCCTGGTCACTGGCGTTTTCTGCCACATCAAGTGCACCTTTTATAGCATCTCTAGACTCCTCAATAATTGAGGATATAGTACCTTCGGTCGACTTTCTTATTTGGTCTTCAATTTGAAAAGCTGACTCAGCAGCCATTGTTTCTGCAGCTGAAACCCTCAGCTTGGCATCTTCTAATGCCTCAGACGTCGCCTGTTCGAAAGCAATCTCCGCTAACTTTTCGACTTGTACCGCAAGTTCGACGGCGTCTTGTATCGCAAGAACCAACTTGGATTCCAAGGCAGATTTCTCTTCCACTGATTCCTGCAGCTTCTTATGGAGCTGATACTTGGCCGACTCGAGTTTGGAAACAGCCAATTCCTTCTCATGCAAAATGGAAGCCACGTTTTCTTCCTGACTAACCTCGGAAGAAGCAAAATCTTCAAGCAATTGATCTTTTTCATCTTCAAGAGCTTCTTGTCTGGCCTTAGCCTCGGAAAGAGCTCGTTTTGTCTCGGTTAACTCGTCTTTCTTCTTCCCCGATTCTCCATGTCTCCTTGACTTAAAACCATCCTCATCATCTGTGAAAGTGTCATTGAAATTACCCTGCAAGAGAAAATTTATAAAATTCATGATCCATCCCCCAACTCCTTGGCACAAAACTAAAGACGATAATCCAATATGCATCAATGAACACACCTTATTAGAGGCAGCAATTATTCTTGGTCCGCACTGCCCGGTCAGTAAATTCTTCCTGCAACAACACCATCTTCCATCAATGATTAGATAATAAGTTAATCCAGAAAAGAATGGAGCTTGGATAAAATAAAGAACCTTTTCCTGTTAGAAGAGCCTCCCAAGACTAAACGAAATTGTCCACGTGGTCTGCCTAAAGAAACAACAGGGAACTGGGGAAGAAGCATCCCAATGGCCGAACTTGGTAATAAAAAAGTACCCATTTTTCTTCCTGTTAAAAGAAAATAAAAACTTTAGGAGCTGAACAATAATTAATTAGCAAACGAATTTCTGTCATAAAAAAAGTCACTTTCTTAGTTACAAAATCAAATATATATGTATATATATTTGCCTTGATAATTGCTTCATAAACAAATCAGTAAAGATATCAAAATCAACATACACAAATAATATTTTTCCCTTTTTCGGATCAGAACAAATAACAATTTCTATAACAAAAAAAAGAGTAAAAAAAGACAAGAGATTAACACATTATATAGCTAAGAATGAAGATCACATAAAATTACCAACTCAAGTTTAACTATATAATCATAATTTTTTTTTCAACTTCTAAGACTTGATCTATAATCATAATTACTTGATGAGAAATAAAATTTAAATTATAAAGAGTATTTTTCGATATGAATTACTACTTTCTCAAAAATAATGCATCAAAATAAGTCATTGGATCATGTACAACAAATGAGAACATGTAAAAAAGAAAGTGTGAACCTGATATGTATTGAGCTGAAAAGAGATGTGGGAATTCAAGTCATTGTATTTGTTAAATGGTCGAGCCTTTTGATTGATGAAAGAGGAAATGACAATGGGATTTTAGTTTTGGAGATCAGCATCTGCAGGGAAAACAAGAAAAGTGAAGAGCGAGGGAATGGCAGGGAGAGTCAGGTAGTTTATATGGCAGAGAAAAGTGGTGTGGAGTGGCTTTTTTTTAGATTTGCATCATTTAATTTAAGTAATTATTATTTATTTTATGTTCTTGCAGTTTGACCATAATTAACCACTGATATCGGTGTAAAAAGCTTTTTATTTTTATTTCATACAAAACCTTTTTATAATAATAAAAAACTTTAAGAAAATCCCTCACATTATAAAGTTTTATAATATTTGATCTAAATTAGTAGATTAAATATCATGATTAAAGTTAGAATTGACTTATAGATATTTATAACAGGCATCAGAGTCATAGTACCAGATTCATAACATATCAGCATTAGCTACTTCCATCTGCTATGAATGCGATCTCCAACTAAATGCTGTTGTGCAAGTAAATCGGCCTCTGGTGAACGAGCAACCTAACTCCCATGGAGGAGCAATGGCAGACGAAAGTCGGTTTCTCTACGGGGATCGACATCTCCTTTTAGAAGTTTTATAGATGGCCATTTGATACGGATTTGGGTGGCAACAAGCCAGAGCAAGCATAAGTACATTCTTTTATTGCGGAATACGGCTATCAGATAGAGTAAAATCGTAACTGATAATTTGAGAAAATAAAAATAAAGATAAAGAAGACAAATTTTACGTGGAAACCCCCTAAATAATATAGGGTAAAAACCACGGGCAAAAATAGAAGAATTTCACTATGAAAAAAATACGAATTACAACTTCTCTCGATATAATAAGGAGAAAACAATAACAATTATCTCTTGATAAAAAGGAGAAAACAACTCTCAAGAAAACTCTCTAAATTCTCTAATATTGAGAGAAAACTAGAATGATTTGGGATGATTTTGAAGCTAAATGGGATAGGGTATTTATAGTTGAAGCTTAAGGACTAATCTTGTAAATACCCTATAGTACAGAGACTAAATTACAATTATCCCTTACCAAATTTCAATCATATTAGCTGTCACTTTTGACTATACATTTTTGGTGGAATTATATATATATATATATATATATATATTCCAACTTTCACATTCTACTTGCACATTCAGTGGAATTAATTTTCAACAATCTCTCACTTGAAGATTTGATTGGAACAATCATATCTTCACACCATTCTTTCTACCTTGTACCATCATGTTGCTTACGTCTCTAACAGATCACAAGAGAATCTACACCAAGTAAATTTATCAGCATTGATCACCTTCGTCATGAAATCTGCTATGTTGTCTTTGGTATGTATCTTCTGCATATCTACCGTCACTTCTTCCACCTTTTCAAGAATGAAATGGTACTGAACTCATATGTGCTTTGTCCTTGAATGAAATGTTGGATTCCTTGCTAGATGCAAGGCGCTTTGACTGTCACAAAATATAGAGACATACTCTTGATTGTGCTTAAGCTCCTCCAATAGCATCTTCAACCATATTGCTTCTTTACTGGCTTGTGTAGCTGCTACATATTCTGCTTCTGTTGTGGATGTAGCCACAACTGACTACAATTTTGAAACCCAGTTTACAGTTCCACCAGCAACTTTGAACACATATCATGTAGTAGATTTGCTTTTATCCAAATCCCCTGCATAATCAGACCCATTGATAAGTAAGTTTGATCCTTCGTAACATAATGCAAAATTTGAGGTTCCTTTGATGTATCTCAGGATCTTTTTTACTGTATTCCAATGTTCTTTGCCTGGATTTGCCATGTACCGACTAACCACTCCCACTGCTTGTGCAATATATGGTCTTGTGCATATCATAGCGAACATTAAACTTTCCACTGCCGATGCATACGACACTCAAGACATCTCCATCCTCTCTTTTTCACTGCTATGACTCATACTGGAGGATAATTTGAAGTTAATAGGAAGATGGGTAGAAATTAGCTTACAATCTTGCATGTTGAATCGTGATAAGAGCTTCTTCAAGTAATTCTTTTGTGAAAGCCAAATATTTCTATTACTTCTATCTCGGTGAATTTGCATCCCTAGAATCTTGTTTGCTGATTCCAAGTCCTTCATTTCAAATTTCCTAGCCATTTGTGCCTTCAATTATTCAATATGATATTTGTTGGGTCCTGCAACCAACATGCCATCCACATGCAACAACAATATAACAAAATTATTATCACCAAACCTTTTGAAATAAGCACAAGGGTCTGCAATAAGTCTGTTGTATCCAAGGCACATAATGAAGGAATCAAATCTCTTATACCAACACCTCGGCGTCTGCTTTAGATCGTACAGAGATTTGTTCAACCTACAAACCAAGTTCTTCCTTTCTTCTTCTTCAAAACCTTCAGGCTGGAGCATGTAAATCTCTTATTCAATATTTCCATGAAGAAAATTTGTTTTAACATCTAGATGCTCTAGATGTAAGTTCAATGTAGCACACATTACCAAGACTACTCGAACTGTTGTTAGTCGAACTGTTGTTAGTCGAACCACAGGAGAAAAGATTTCATTGAAATCAATACATTCTTTTTGAGCATATCCTTTGACCACCAGTCTTGCACGATACATCTCCACTTGATCATCTCCATTTCGCTTAATTTTGAAGACACATTTGTTACCAATTGGCTTCATTCCTTGTGGTAGTGGCACAAGGTCTCATGTATTATTTTTATGAAGGGTTTCAATTTCTTTTTGCATCGCTGTAACACCCCAACCCGTACCTAACCCGGATACGAGTCCGAGATGACACATTGACTTTTTAAAACCAAATTCTTAACAAAATACAGAACATTTGGACTTATTTTAATAAAATACGATAATATAATGTTGAATTAAGCTCTTTATAACCAATTTAAAAAATACGTATTTATGAACATTACTATATTGTATGAACAGTGCCATGAACATCAATGAACAATGTCGTGAACAGTAATGAACAGTTAAAAAATTTGAATATAAATTGTGTATCGATGCACTGCTACAGTACTTCCGTAAAACGTTCATAAAACTCGTAAAAATTTAACCGTTCATTACTATACATTTACATTTACATAAATTCGTTTAAAATATTACAAAACTTGATCAGAGCATAAATACTTAAATTACCGACTTGGTTTACATGACAACCTATTTTCACATAATAAGACATACTACTTAATCTACTTCTGATCTGACTTTCAAGTGGAGATATGTTGTTCTGCTAAGCTTATCTTTGATCTTCCTGCTTCTCAGTACCTACGTGTAAATCGCTTACACGCTAACTCATAGACTTAGTGAGACATATAAATATAATAATAATGCATTCCTTATGAATATAAACATGCAATCTATACATTCAATCATGTCATATACAATTCAATGTAAACAATAATAATATGGTAACATATAACTATAATAATGCAATTACCTTTGATAACCTTTTATAGGCCCATATACATTTCTGAGAACTCAAGGTATTCGAGTACATTGAGGTTGTGCACTATTATTGTCACCACAACTCGTATGGGGTCCCACTAGGGGCATATGAATTTTGTCCCGAATGACCTATGTACTGTATTTGTCCCGAATGACCACTCCTTAAGAACCATATACATATTCCAATGGATCAAATATGTCTCAAAAGACCCTATAAATATTCCAAATGATACATATATGTCCCAAAGGACCACGTAGAATCCTCGACTCTTGGCATGCCAACTATATCTATAGCTCTCATATCGTATACCATGGGCATTATTCTTATGTTTCATATGTTCATGTACTCATGTCATTTCTCTTGTGATCACATAGCCCATATCAACTATCATATCACATGTGCATTTGAATCTTTTCACATATATCATTTATCAAATCATATGAACATATATACTTTATGCATGTATCATAATAATTATCATGTATGCATGCTCATAACTATTGTACTATGAAAATCAACATAGGAATTAGACTTATCACAAGTCTTATTCCATTGTACCATATTTATAGTATGCACTCACCTATATATCTTTGCCTTTTCCTCGATCGATCTTACTTGTCACTTGTTCCGGAACTTATTTAGGCTCAATATCTACATAAATATAGTTTTCAAGACAATTATAAGAAGCCTAAACCTTATAATTCGATACTAATAACTTGAGCTAATTTAATGAACCCAAAAATTCAGTTTTCCTTTAGGGGTGTACCGATGCACTATGGATGCATCGGTACCCAAATTAGGTTCGAAATTCTCATGCATCGATACACCCCTTAATGCATCGATGCACCTTCAAAATTTATCTTAGTGTATCGGTACACACTCATAGTGCATCGATGCACCTGCCCAGAATAGACTATTTCATCCGAAAATCATCAACACTTCACCCAAATTTTCATGTATAAAATCCTTATTATGCTACTAAATTCATCTATAACAACTTTAACCAATTCTTACCATTCCAACACCTTATAATCTTCCACATTTCATCCAAATTCTTAAGGCTAAGAATCATACCAAATTTTCCTTGTTATCCAAACTTTGATTTAACACTTATAACTTCTTATTCACACGTATGACATGTCAAATTTAGTTTTAAATTCAACTTATCAAATATATTCCAAAAACTCACTTAAAACCCATTTTCTTTAATCTTTCATAACTTCTTCATCTTTTGATTATAAGATAACTTAAGCTTTCCTTAAGCTTAGTTATCATCTAATGATCAAAACGCAATCTTAAAATTAAAAAATAATTAGCTAAACCGAAAACTTACCTTTAATGGATACCTACGGGGAGAAGAAGAATGAGAAGAAGATAAGCTTCCAGATGCTCATTCAACCCCCATGCTTATCTCTTAAATAAGAGATAAATATCTTTTTCATGAAAATATCACCTTACCCTTCATACTTTCATTCCTCACAATTTAATCCAATACCAGAATTTATCACTTTAAAATTCTGAACTTTTCAATAAATTCTACTTTAATCGCCAACTTTTGAATTTTTAAAATTTGGTCACTAACCCATAGTTTGAGATGTT